ACCAATTAAATCGAAAAAACTAAAATTTATTGGATTGTGACTCGTGAGACTAAGGATATGGGTCGTCCATAGCCTCTGACATCATTTCCTCGAAGTCATTACATCGGCGTCGTTCAGCTCTTCGTTACTGCAGCCTCCTATCATGTCCAAGTCTCCCACCAGTGCCGTCGACGTTGCTGCCATGGACTCAACGGAGACTGGAGTTGATTCCAGTTCTGCAACAACATCGGCTGCGGCAGGAAAGCCGAGCAACGCCGGATCGGGTGCAGAAGTTTCGGCAGCATCGAAGGACGGAAGCTCAGGGTGCAAGCCGGGGTGCTGCAACGTCCACCCCGGCGTCACAACTTTGCACGCTCGGGGCGCCGCCACCTTGTTGACGTAGAATAATCTCGTTGCGGCAGACCGTCAAGCTCGCCGCCACCGACCTCAGCACGTTCTGCCTTTCCTCCCTCGACATGCCGTCGATGTATCGCTCCCAATCAGCCTCCGCCTCCAGCAGCTCCTCGAGCTCCAACGCCGCGTGCTCCTCGCTAACATCGGCCGCCGACCCCTGCTTCTTGCGCGGCGTTTGGCAGCCAGGACGTGATGCAAGCGCTGCTCCCGCTTCTTCCATTCCTCATTCGGTGCACTCATGTACCTGTCAATGGCGATGCGGCGATGTGAAGACTCGGCCATAGCTGTCGCGGCCTATCACACACACACACACACATATATATATATATTGTAGTGTATACGTCTACTAAACTTGCTTAAATCCGATTCAAGTATTTATCGGACTTAAAAATGAATTTGTCTAGTAAGCCAATTACGTGTTACATGCTCAATTTCCATGTTTGGTATTTCAACATACACTTTACATCCCCAATTGCCATCAGTATCATCACCATGTTTCATATGCCATTTAGGCCACCTTTTCCTTTTTCGCTTCCCACCCACTATCCCATGATCATCATGGCACATTTTCTCCTTATCCAGCTTTACCCTTCTGTCTCTCCATTATCTTTACCTAATATCTTTACCTGAAGTAATCATGATGATAAGTTCTAATACCATGATGAAATTGATCTCTTACAATCTGAACGATTAGGATTTATGTTATAAGATAACCTTTTTTGTTTGAAGGAATAAGACCATGAATAACCTTTAGCTCACATGAACCTGATTTGGTTAGACTCTCTTCCCTGCTATGCCAAGAAACATGGCATCAAACACAAACAGAGACGCAATCCATGTGATCGCATATGCTTCCTTTTCTCTTCTATCCTGTGGCTTGTGGTTCTGCTTCACCGCCACCACTACCACCATCAGTGGGTACTCTGTTTCTTGCCCGCAACTTCTTTTGTTGTTCTGTGCAAGCAATCATTGCTTGATCCGAAACTTCACCGCAATCTCTTCTTTCTTGCCCACAACTATTTGCTTTAAATTCTTGCACAAGCGCGTGCATTGTACGAGTGTGTGCTACTGGTGAAGGGTGGTGAGAGGATCGATGGAGCCACTGAGGTCGTCGTCATTGATGTTACTGCTGCTGGTGATATGCTGCAGCAGCACCGCGGCGGTGGCGGCCGCCAAGAAGCGGACGTATATTGTCCACATGGCCAAGTCGCAGATGCCGCCTGCGTTCGCGGAGCACCGCCACTGGTACGACGCCTCGCTGAGGTCCGTCTCCGACACCGCCGAGATCCTCTACGCCTACGACACGGTCGCCCACGGCTTCTCCGCGCGGCTCACGCCGGCGGAGGCCCGCGCCATGGAGCGCCGCCCGGGCGTGCTGGGCGTCATGGCCGAGGCTCGGTACGAGCTCCACACGACGCGCACCCCGGAGTTCCTCGGCCTCGACCGCACCGAGGGGTTCATCCCCCAGTCGAACACCACGAGCGACGTCGTCGTCGGGGTCCTCGACACGGGCGTGTGGCCGGAGCGCAAGAGCTACGACGACGCTGGGCTCGGGCCGGTCCCGGCGAGCTGGAAGGGCGCGTGTGAGGAGGGAAAGGACTTCAAAGCCGCGAACGCGTGCAACCGGAAGCTGGTCGGCGCGCGATTCTTCTCAAAGGGGTATGAAGCGCGCATGGGCCCTATCAACTTGACCAAGGAGTCGAGATCCCCCCGGGACAACGACGGCCACGGCACCCATACCTCTTCCACCGTCGCTGGCTCAGCCGTCCCCGACGTCGACTTTCTTGGCTACGCCGCCGGCACCGCCCGCGGCATGTCCACCCGCGCGCGCATCGCCGTGTACAAGGTCTGCTGGCTCGGTGGGTGCTTCGGCTCCGACATCCTCGCTGCAATGGACAAGGCCATCGAGGACGGCTGTGGCGTCCTGTCCCTGTCCCTGGGCGGCGGGATGTCGGACTACTATCGCGACAACATCGCCGTCGGGGCTTTCAGCGCCATGGCGATGGGGGTCGTGGTCTCCTGCTCCGCCGGCAATGCCGGCCCCGGGGCTTCTACCCTCTCCAACGTAGCGCCGTGGATCACCACCGTCGGTGCCGGCACGCTCGACCGCGACTTCCCCGCCAACGTCCTGCTCAGCAACGGTAAGAATTACACCGGCGTCTCGCTCTACAGCGGGAAGCCACTTCCCTCCTCGCCGCTCCCATTCATTTACGCCGGGAACGCCACCAACACTACCAACGGGAACCTCTGCATAACGGGGACCCTCCTGCCCGACAAGGTCGCCGGAAAGATCGTCCTCTGCGACCGCGGGATCAACGCCCGGGTCCAAAAGGGGTTGGTCGTGCGTGACGCTGGAGGGGCGGGCATGATCCTGGCCAACACCGCCGCCAACGGGGAAGAGCTTGTGGCCGACGCGCACCTCCTCCCCGCCACCGCCGTCGGGGAAATAGCCGGGGACGCCATCAAGTCCTACCTCTTCTCCGATCCGAACCCAACGGCTACCATTGCGTTCAGGGGTACGAAGGTCGGTGTCAAGCCGTCGCCGGTGGTTGCGGCGTTCTCCTCCCGCGGGCCAAGCGCCATCACTCCGGACATCTTGAAGCCGGACCTGATCGCCCCGGGGGTGAACATCCTCGCCGCCTGGACGGGCTCGGTTGGGCCCACGGGGCAGGCGGTGGACCCGCGGCGGACGGAGTTCAACATCATCTCCGGCACGTCCATGTCGTGCCCCCACGTCAGCGGCCTGCTGGCGCTCCTCAAGGGAGCGCACCCGGACTGGAGCCCCGGCGCCATCAAGTCCGCCCTCATGACCACCGCTTACGCCGCTTACCCCGGCGACGGTGGCATCCTCGACGTGGCCACCGGCCGCGCTGCCACTCCCTTCGACTTCGGCGCCGGCCACGTGGACCCGCCGAAGGCACTGGACCCCGGCCTCGTCTACAACCTAACCAACGAAGACTACCTCGACTTCCTCTGCGCCCTTAACTACACCCCCCTCCAGATCGCGCGACTCTCCCGGCTGACCAACTACACCTGCGATAGACAAAAGGCCTACGAGGTATCGGACCTCAACTACCCCTCCTTCGCGGTGGCGTTCGCAACGGCGTCGACGACGGTGAAGCACACAAGAACGCTGACCAACGTCGGGGCACCTGGGACGTACAAGGCGACAGTGTCGGCGCCGGAGGACGTTAAGGTGGTGGTGGAGCCGACGGCTCTGACCTTCGCGGCGCTGGGGGAGAAGAAGAACTATACCGTGACTTTCTCAACGGCGTCGCAGCCGTCGGGATCGACCGCGTTCGGCCGCCTCGAGTGGTCCGACGCCCAGCACGTGGTCGCGAGCCCCCTGGCCTTCTCATGGACCTAAAGATGGCGTAAGGATGACAACACCGAGACCGTCCGATGGCGGCTTGTCTTAGAAAACAAGTGAAGGTATACTGTGTCGTGTTTTATTACTCGTTGCTGTTTAGATTATTAACATTATTGTGGATGGAACGACAATAAGCTAAGCTTATTGTATATAGTATTAAATGAAAAATATGCTTATTAAGGACTGCCCAATGCTTGATTCGATGTGTTTAGGCTCCTTGAGGGTAGTGATTTAATTAATGGTTCAAATGGTGGGAAAGTGTACGCATTAAACGGAGAACAGAAGTTTGGGAAAAAAAAAAAAGCTAAATACGCATGTTTTTATGAGACAATTGTATACATCATGAAGAATTTGGTAATGTTTTGATTTAAATGCATCTTGTGTACGTGGATCATCCCTTTGACTATAATCGGTTTTGTCCGGCTTACTATATATATATATATATATATATATATATATATATATATATATATATATATATATATATCATGGTTAATATAGTACATAAATATAATTTATTTTTTATATATTAATCTATGATTTGATTAATCGACCCACCTATTAATGATTCAATAACAAGAGAATATCAATAATTAGGAAATTTAAATTATATTATTTTGATCATATTTAATCTCTACTAATTATTATAAGTTAAGTATTAATTAAAATTGATATATAAAATATTATCGATTAATCACTATCCAACATGTGTCTTCCATCGATGAAATTAAAGAGAAAAATTATCCTTCGTTTGTCTGTCCGTATAGATATTAGTTCAAACCGGACAATTATAAATTGTCTCTCGCGAAAAAAAAAAAAGTCAAGATAGCTAAAAAGTTGTTTCTTAAAAAATATTTCTCATAATATATTATTCCTTTATTATAGCGTATAGAAGTTCATCTTTTTAACATTGAAGATCAACTCGGATTAATATATAAATATTTTTACCTTAAATAATTTTTATGAAAACTCGACATTGTTACTTGGGAGACATTTCGAACAATCATCCTATTTCGGATGTACCTCAGACAATCATCCTATGCATATGGATTTGAATTATCGAAATATCTTCCCGTAATAAAAGAAAAAAAATTTATATTGTCATCCTTTTAACCCTCCGTGAATTGCCGTACATTCGGAACCGAATCCAACTCCATTAATTGGGTCGGATAAATCTGCATGCCCGGAAAAATCCGACCCGTTGTCATCTGCCCGATTCCACAAATTATGATCGTATGGTTCGGCCGGTCCGGAATCGGCCTGACATCTTTGCCGCCCTAATCCAGCTTCCATCAGCTTCGCCCACGAGGAAGAGAGAGTAGCCTCGCAACCACGCTATGGCGAAGTCGGCGGAGGAACAGCTCTGCGAGGCGGCTGTTGAAGGCGACTGCGCCAAGATCGGCGACCTCCTCTCTGCCGGTGCCGACCCCACCTACTTCGACGCAAGCGGGATGACGCCCCTCATGTACGCCGCGCGCCACGGCCACGCCGACTCCGCTCGACTCCTCCTTTCCGCCGGTGCACCGTGGAATGCCCTCTCGCCATCAAACATTTCCGCCGGTGACCTTGCCATGGAGCACGCCCATCAGGAGGCCTTCGACGTTCTCCTCAACGCCGGCATCCAGGCTGAGCTCGTTCTCGGGACCATCGCCCGCGTGGCGGAGCGCAACGGCGAGAAGGAAGGCGGCGGCTTGAACTACCTGGAGGACAGGGTGTCCTTCAGCGAGGACAAGCTGATGGACTCGGAGAGCAAGGCGGTGATGATGGAGTGGGAAAGACCACTGATGGAGGCACACGCGAGGGCCGTATGCGGTGGCGGTGGGAAGGTGCTCAACGTGGGGTTTGGGATGGGGCTTGTGGACGAGGCGATTCAGAGGTACGGGCCGGTCGAGCACACGATTGTGGAGGCGCATCCGGAAGTGTATGAGCGGATGCTGCGTTCAGGCTGGGGGAAGAAGGAGAATGTGAAGATTGTTTTTGGACGGTGGCAGGATGTTCTTCCGCAGCTTGAGTCTTATGATGGTAATATCTTCATTGAGTTCTAAATTTGTGCTTCAAAATGTTTCTTATATCATCTTTTAATACTAATATTGTCCAAAAAGGTAAGCTCTACTTTGTTTATATGATCATAGATCATTAATATTTGCACCCTATGAAAGAAGAGTCACTGCATTTGTTATTTCAATAATCAATGGGAAAATTAGTTTTTATTATAATACAAGGACACCATCACCAAGTACATGCTTTCTCATATGATTGTTAAAAAAAGTATTTCTTATGTTATCTTGCAAGTGGTGGTGAATGGTAAGTAGTAAAATTAGCAGAAAAAAGTTTTGCTTTGTTTTGTGTGATTGTAACTATAAACAGAACTGAATTCTTCATAGAATAAATAGGAAGAAACAAGGATTTCACCAGAGTAGTAGAACACCATTGCCAAGTACCAACATATGTAATTCTGAATGATTGTCGATGCTTCATCTTTACTGAAGTATCCTCATTTGGCTATTGGATAGCACTAAAATTTGATGAACTTTCTCCTCTGCAAGAGCATGTTACTGTGGCTGTTGGCAAAGATGCAAAACCAAACCGTTTACTTGGACTTGAACTTGCCTGATTTTGATGTTGTTGATACAATGTTGGTGTAACCAACCTGGGAGCCGTGGCCTCGGGGCCAACGCGGCTCGGTTCGGGTCCAGACGTCGGGGATCTCTCCGGTGCGTGCCTCGAGCCCGCGGGGACGGTCCGGTGCGATGGTCCGATCGGGACGGGGTCGCCGTCTCCTTTGGGCAGGGGCTCGTCGTCCGTGCGACCGACGGGGACCCTCGGCTTCGCACCTGCACAAAGGTCGGGTCGGGAAGCTCGACCCGACCCCTCCGACGATCAAGTTAGCAGAAGATGTGAAGGGAGTTTCAGAAGAAGAAGTGTTTGTATGTGTCACCCCCCCTTCTCTGATGAATGAGAGGGTATTTATAGGGAAGCTTACTGTTGTTTGATGTGCCCGCCTGCAGGAGGCAGGCTGATAGCGTCTAACATGGGGGTTGGCGTGGCGTGTAGAACCGCGCCTGCGTAGGCGTTAATGTGCCTCGACCGGTGTTCTGGTTCGGTTGACCGAGTACCGTCGCGCCGACCGAGGCGCGAGGCGTCGGCTGACGTCAGCCGAGTCTTATCATAATTACTATCCTCATCACATTCCCCCCCGGAAAGAAGCTATGCGTCGGTCGTTGTAACGGGAGTCCGAGGCATGGCTTTAGCTTTCAGACGGGCTGGCCGCGCAGGCGCGGTTTCGGGGAGCATGGAACCGAGGAGTATGACGTAGGCGGGCTGGCCGCGCAGGTGTGTCTTGGGGAGCATGGGGCCGAGGAGCACGACGCAGGCGGGCTAGCCGCGCAGGTGTGTCTCGGGGAGCATGGGGCCGAGGAGCACGACGCAGGTGGGCTGGCCGTGCAGGTGTGTCTCGGGAAGATGACGCCGAGGAGCACGACCAGGCGGGCTGGCTGCGCAGGTGTGTCTCGGGAACATGGAGTCGAGGAGCACGACGCAGGCGAGCTGGCCGCGCAGGTGTGTCTTGGGAACATAGAGCCGAGGAGCATGACGTAGGCGGGCTGACCGCGCAGGTGTGTCT